ATTTAGAACGGCGTTGGAAAACATAGCGTTTTCTCCCCTCAATTCAGTTATAAACTCATTTCACCTCAGCGGTAAGTGTCCTTAATATCTACCAAAAACAACCTTTTGGTTGTCAGTAAGCAGTTGATCATTTTCGCGATTAAAAAATGACTTTGTTCGGCGGCGTTCCCACCGCGAGCAGAACTCCGGTTAAAAAAACGCTGTTTTTGAACACTTTTATTTACTTAAGCACTTTAATGGGCTTACGTTGAAACAAAGTGCGATTGAATGATTATTGTTATGTGTTGCCTTGAATTCGGCTATGTTGTCTGTCAGACAGTTATTTTTCTTTATTGTTGTTTTTGTATTTGTTTGTAGCGAACGCTACTGGAATGTATAGATTAAGCTACGTAGCCAAGATGATTAATAATTTAACTGTTGTACATTGGTGGATGATGATGATTCATGATTCAGGATTTGCATTGTTACATAGACTTGCAGAAAAATGTATTTGTTTACCGGTAAACTGAATCGAACTTGATGTGCTAATGGACATTTTTCTGACCTACAGGTCAGGTTTTTTTCCCCCCTTTGAATTGATCTTCTTCATATTGAAGTGGCGAGCCGGTAGGACCATTCTTTGTTTTTTCCCCCACTTTGCCGTCTTTGGATTACGGACATATTTCCCCATTGTATGAAGCTGGACCCTAAGGAGGAATACCTTAAAAGTGAACTTTAAAAAGAAAAGGACCAAAAAGGACTCTTAACAAAAGGACTCTTGCACAGAAAATCACAGCAATTAATTTTTTAATTAATTGTGGGCATTTGTTTATGTTGTGTGTTGCATTAATTATTTTGTTCCACTTCCCCTTCCCCCATTTATTCAATATATTTTTGGTACAAGATATTGCAATCTTTGGTCTAGTCATTCACACCATCTAGGCTCCATAAAGAACTATTTCTTCTGCGCGTCAGTCAGTAAACTCATCCATTGCAATAAAACTAGTCCTTAAATAACTTTGTGTTACATCAGCCTCAGACTTCCACTCCCATTTCCTACACTGCTGACAAAAAAATGAAAATGCCAGACCCACCAGAGTATGTGGTGTATACAGATTCAGAGTTGGACATGGTGCGCAGTCAGTACTTTGCATTGCTCCACAGTGGAAAGGAAAAGGACTGTAAGATGTCGAAGGAGCTCTATTGCAGACTTGTAAGGAACACAGTCACCAGCATGGTTGCAATCCTCCGTGCTAGTCCCATGGGGAAAGAAGTAAGATACCCCTCCAAACTCAAAATGAGAGCAATGTCACAGAAGATTGTCGACTGTTACCCCATGTTACTTGATGCTGACACACACATGCCATACGTAAGTCATTCTTTACCCACTACAATATCTAAAATTGAGTGAGATAATAAAAGTATGTACAAATATATATTATTTTACCACAGCTGACCATCTACACCAAACTGTACAAACGACTCCAAAATATGACGTCTCCAAGGAAGAGGCAGGGCTCCATGCCGCAACGAGGCAGGCTCGGGAAGACTCTTTTCAGCTCAGATGACACAGACAATGGGACTGAAAGTGACCTAAGTGGTGAAGCATGTGGTTCAAGTGACTATACCATACTTCTTGAGAGCAATGATGACCTCAGCGAGGATAACTCAAATGCAGGTGTGTACTTTGGTCTGCTGTACTAATGACTTTTGGACAT